TATATTATTTTCTTAGAATGTACTGTTCATTTTAGGTTCAACAGTTTATTTACATGTACTGTTACTTAAGTTTTCTCCTATTCTGACATATTAAAAAGTTGCAATTTTGTCTTAACGTAATAAAAATATTTTTATTCAACATTCACCATCAGTGCATGCTGAATGTCGACATTTGCCAGTGTAAATGAGAAATAATGATATTTAACAAATATTTTGTACATACACAAAAAGACTGTGTGAATGCTGGCATTCACCGGAGAATGTTGGCATTTTCTAGATATCAGTCATTCACAGTAACAACTACATAAAAACATAACACAAATGTTTTCGACCCACTTGAAATCCGGAGGCATTAGAAATTTTTAAAGCAAACTGCAAAGGCCTGTCAATCAATTTTAAAAAAGAAAAACAACTATCAAGAGTACAGCAGGCTATTTATGATGCAACACTATAACAACTGGCGTAGGCTTTGTTGTTTGGAGATTCAAATTTTGAAACTTTAAAACATAAATTCCGAAGACAGAAGCATTAGAGACCCGAACAGTTAAAAGTAGGAATTGCACCAGAAAAACTTATAGAACACCCAAGGAAGACCCCAGAAGTGGGTCGAAAATGTTTGTGTTACATTTTTATGTAGTAACTTAAGCTATACAACGTTAGTGCAACATATTTGGAATTGGTTATGCTAAATTTTATAAAAACCCTTATAACATTAATGTATATTTGTAAAAGTTATAGGAAGTTCTACAATCAAGAGGGTTTTGGGCTACTTGAGATTAAGCAATGTCTAGTTATGAAAAATTTTGTAATTTGTTAGGAATAAACCATTACCAAAGTTCAAAAATACAACAGTTACTACCCTTAAAAATAGAGCAGGAGCATAGCAAGTGCTCCAAAGCAAAATGGATTTTTGGCTGGAATCAACTCCTACCAGAAGGCAGATTATATATAAACTTGCATGTATAATTTGTATTTAGGCTTCAAGTGCTTGAGAAAAAAGAAAAATATTAGTTTTGCACAAAAAACAGCCATAGTATGTTGCCTGTAATGTATGTAGCATGTTCTAAAAGACAGATACTTTTTAGCTGGAACCCCAGAATCTTCCACTCTGTAGAGGGAAATCCAGACAGTCTTCCAGGAGAGAGGGTAAGTGCTAGTTAATTACTGCTCGAAGATGGAGGTGCTTTAATAAGTTGTAATCTTTGTGCCATCTGAAAAATAACCCAAAATTTAGATTACTTATTTTTTTAAAACCCTTATTTTTCTCTATTTCCTAGTTACCAACTTTTCCCATTAACAGATGGTGCTCTCATCACCAACCTTTGATTTAAATAAAAACTTATTTTAAACATGTCGCAAGCAACCCCACCTCGCTTCCATTAATAACTTTTTATTAATTTAATTATTGCTTGTCAATGTTGTAACTATTGTAAAACCACATTCTTGAAATCAGTTTTTTCATTTTTGAACACATTTTTGTCTTAAAATTAGCATCCGAAGTTTTTACAGGTAATAAAGTAACTATTTCTTTCGTATTTCCTATTTGATGTTATCATAAAACACAGAATAGTATAGCTACAGCAAACGATCATTTATTGCAAAACCCGATAATATATAGGGGGCATACGTAATATCGTCCCATACCCTGAATCTCGCAATAATTTATATGACGATAATTTAATGTATAATATAAATGCTAATTTTAACAAAACTATCGTAACATAGCCTTTGAATCGGCGTAACAAATCATTTATTTTTTATCCAGTAATAAACTACAGAAACTTTTTTCTCAGTATCAGCAGTCAAGATAGGATCACTTAAAATGTTTTTTTCTACAAATTCTATCAATAACAACTCTCATAAGAGCGTTATATCATTATACCTAGTTTAAAAAATTTCTAATCGAGACCACTCGTCTAATTCGGATCCTTCGCAATTAAATAACCACTTTAATTTGTCAGACGACGATTTCTTTTCACGAACAAATAATTTAACATTCAACGAAAATTTTATAACAATACTCACTATTATTTTAGGAATATCAGAAATATAGATTTTTTTCATTACAAAATAATGTATTCCACTATATTAAATGCGTAGTTCAACGATTATGGAGTAAAGACAATAATCACACAGATAACCTTTGCTTTATTCCAGTTTTGTTGTCAAGTTCCATCGAGTCGTCGACGACTCCTGGTGACTTCATGGACAAGTCTTCTCCATCTTGATCTTTCCCTTGTTGTCTCTCGTAGCTCCTCCAGCTTCATTTCTGTGACTTTCTCAATTTCTTCCATCCATCTTATCCGTTGCCTTCCCCTCTTCCTTCTACCTTCCACTTTTCCCAGCATAATAGTCTTCTCTAGGGAAACTTCTTTACGCGTCACATGTCCAAAGTAGGTCAATTTTTGTTTTAAGATTCTTGACTCTAAGGAGAAGCTTGGCTTAATTTTTTCTAAAATCGAGATATTTGTTTTCTTTTCTGTCCGTGGAACTCTAAGTAATCTTCTCCATACCCATAATTCGAATGCATCTATCATTTTTCTTTCCTTTTTCCTTAGAGTCCAGCTTTCACAGCCATATAATGTTACAGGGAAAAACCATTGCTTCTACAATTCTTTTCTTAGTATGAATGGAAATGTCTTTATCTTTCATTATCTTGGTGAGATTTGCCATGGCTGTTCTGCCAAGATTAATTCTCCTCCTGATTTCTCCTTCACAACTTCCATTCCTTTCTATCTTTGAGCCCAAAAGTATGTAACTTTCTCCACTTCAATTCTTTCACCAACCACAATGAAATCTTTTAACTCTTTAGTTGACATTACTTTAGTTTTCTTTACATTTAGCTTCAAACCAAATTTAGCACTTTCTTCTTTTACCCTTATGATAAGTTTTTCTAAATCTGCTTTGCTTTCTGTCAAAAGGGTGGTATCATCTGCATATCTCATATTATTAATAGTATCCCAGCATCATTTCTTTTCCCAAGACCATATCTTCCAACATGTCCTGGAGTCTCTTCTTTTCCTACTTTTGCATTCCAGTCACCAAGAATAAAGAGTGCATCTTTTTTTGGTAAATTATTAACTGTTTCTTGAAGCTTTTCATAAAACCCTTCAATTTCTTCTTCTGTCGCTTCTGTAGTAGGAGCATAAACTTGAATGATTGACAGATTGAATGGTTTTCCCTGCATCCTCAAGACTATGATTCTGTCACTAACTGGTTTATAACCCAAAATCAAATTTACTAAATTCTTTTTTACAATTAGAGCCACTCCATTTTTTCTTAAGTTATCATGTCCAGAATAGAAGATCCTAAAGTCATTGGAATCAAAGTATCCCATTCCTATCCATTTAAGCTCACTGACTCCTAACACTTCTATCCCTATTCTTGTCATTTCACTTTTAATTATGTCTAGTTTTCCAGCATACATGCCTCTCACATTCCACGTTGCAAATATGTGTTGTTTGAAGAAACTTGGAACTTTCTTTTCGTGGTTGACTGCATCAATGATTAAACTCCCTTTCGACTTTGACTTAATCATGCCATTATGTTCAATCTTAGTCAGTGAAGTTCCTTGTTCGTCCCCAGTAGAAGTTAGAGTGCTTTCGAACCCGAAGGTCCCATCCTCCAACACTATATCTCTATTATGAAATTCCTTGTCCATGTAGTTTTCTTGGCAAGAGTTGAGGAAGTGGTTTACCATTGCCTTCTTCCTTGTTATTTCGATTACAAGTGATAAAATCGCTACTCACCCAAGTTTCCAGCTACTTCATAAGAGTAAAGTCAATGACCGTTTCTATGGCTACACCATAGAACACATTTTGAAGGTTAGGAAAATTTGATGGAACGGCCATAATTCAAAAACTATAAAGTGTATCGAGACGAAATTTAGCATAAAGTTAATATTTAACGTCCTCTCATAAACAACCAAATATTTTTTGGAAATAACTAGCAGGAAGCCCGCAATAACTCGTCGAATTTTTACCAAAAGTTGTCGAAATCTTCAAAACTGTTACTCCTACAATTCCAAAAATTGGCAAAGGTACTTGCAGCACAGATACGATTCAAACACCGCGAAGCCCGTCAGTCCGTCTGCCGACATAATTAGAAATTTATCGCTAAGTTCGAATATCTTTCCAGACGTCATAACTTTTCAACGAAGTATCCAATTTCAAAAACCTACACACCGATAGAACCCTCTCGACTTCCGATTTCAAAAACTGTATAACACTCGTCACTTCACTTAATATTTAATATTAGAATTCAATCCAAAACAGAGCTAAAAATCCTGCTGCTTCTATTCCGCCTTTCAATTTTCGAAAAGCGGAATAGAAGCAGCTTTATTCCAGTAGTACTGTACATTACAAACGACAAATGTTTTTAATAATCCGTTTGAAAACGTTTATCGATTATTATTTGTAGATTTTTCCAGTTGGAATTTTCTTTCCTGTTTTTAATTTGGAGTAAGAACGAATGACGATTAAGACACAAAAGTTGGCACTAAACCGTCAAATTTTGGTAGTTAAAAGTCGAGGGACAAGAGGGAGTCGGCTCCCACCTAGAGACAAATTTGCAGAATGACCTCTCGGACGATCTTCGGGTCGTTTGTTTACATTTCGAAATTGAAACGCGTCGAAAAAAGTTCTTCGACGCATTATATCGATTGGAAGTGAAATAAAATTTCGTACCGGTTTCGGAACGATTATTTAGAGTGCGATTTACGGTAGTATTATCCGGTTAACAGAATCTATTAGGTGAGAGTCAGATTTCTCCAACTCTCGCTCGCACCGGGCCGTATCGCGTACGTCCCCGGTAGGTAATTTTCTAAATTGCATATTTGTAAAAAGAATTTTAAATTGTATCGGTCACCATGCTAAAAGATATGACTGAAAAGCGTCGTTCCGCTACCCTTTTGATATTTTATTCGTTATGCCACTACAAATGCGCGAATCGAGTCGACGGGTCTTATCTTTAAACATAAGATTCGGAAATAAATACGTTACCTGAGAAAAATGAAAATCTTTCTCTACCGAGCACTCGTTACACGCCGGACACTTCTCCATCTTCTTTCCACGCAATTAGTGTTGCCAGATGTTTCGCACCGTCGTGCTAAAAATTCTCAAAAAAATAGCCGACTGCCACGGTCGATTCTAACCCGCAACTAGACAAACTGTGTAATGGGGATTTTCAATTTTGCAGTAATTAATTTCCTATTCCGGGTTTTATCGGTTTGTCTTTCGTCCGGTTACGTTAAAAGTTAAAATATTTATTTAAATTACACAGTTTGTTAAGTTTATGGCAACGCGACACTCGGGCCATCTGCCTAGGGAATGGCTTCCGGGAGGTCTTTTTGAGGGAAACCGACCCCTATTTAGGCGTTACGGACGTGGAAAAAACCCGGAAAACTCCAGGTGGCCGGCTCGTCCGAGCCAGGCGCCAACCCATGACCGAACTCCCGGTGTTCGGGAAACGAAGACCGCTCGGCCACCGGTGGGCTAAATTACGCAGTGTATTGTAAAACACGCCACTTACGTAAATTCGCAGTTACGCAAAATGTAAACCTCAAAAATTTAAAAAAAATCTGAGTACGGTAACGTGTAATTTTACAAAGAATTATTCATTTCATACATTCGTGAGGTGAAGAAGTGGTGCGGAGAGAATGTACGGGAATTGAGAAAATCGGCAATGGATAGAGAGAAATGGAAGAAATTAGTGAAAAAGGCATCGGACACTAACGGGCGATGAGCCCGGGGTTAATGATGATGACGATGAAACATTTATTCATTCGTTCTCTCTCTCTCTCTTCCCTTCTTTCTTTCGCACTGTTCCGATTTACTACTTTATTGCTCCGCTAATCTTTTACTTTTCGGTCTAACTGTAAGCGCGTACGCTAGCGTACCGGGCACTCTTTCTCGTAAACAATTCTTTTATATAAAAAAATAATAATATACGTACTGTACAGTACACATATAATAATAAATAAAGTATTCAGTTATTAATTACGTAGTTACACTTAAGCAATTTACAATCTCCACTTATGTAAAATTCGAGTTACGTAAAGGTCCGCATTACTTACGTTACTCGGGATATTACTGAAGAATTCATCGGAACGCAGTGATTATCTATGTTAAAAAAGAACCCGTTCGAAACGGAAGCCCGTCGAACCGGAAAAATATTCGGTCCGTGCCACTTCGGCTTACGCGGGTTTTACTGTATATTCTATCCGGCCCGCGAAAAAAGAGTTACGGAAGGAATGTTGCGGGGATTCGCCATTTGCGCGGAATATATACAATAGATATTTTTTTAATACGGCCGCAACGTCCATATCATCATTTAAACTGTAATCCACCACCACGGCACACTTATTGAATAGTAAATTATTAATTATTCACGCTTAAGGACTAATGGAGTAAATGCAGCAAATGTTTAGCAGTCATCAATTTAATTTTCTATTGTTCTAAACCTTACATCACTTCATATACAAACTTGTAATGTATATTATCCATATATATATCTTATCTTAATATATATCTTACGCACTATATTTAAGAATAAAAATATTTTTATTTTAAACATTGTTAAACTACGAACGCTATGTAAGTATGCCCGTTGTGCCTGAAGTAATGTCTGGAATGTTTTGGGCACAGCCTATCATTTTATCTAGTTTTTATCTACATAAAATGTTACGGTCTAAATCACACGTATATTTTAGTGTCTTGCGAAGGTATTTCATGAATGCTTCACTTTCGTGAATCTGCAACACTTCGGCAAATCTCACACTTTCCAATAGATTTAATCACTGTATTGAATTTGCCGAATTTTTAATAGAAAACTGTTTCCTTTAAAATTACCGTATACGACGCTCGTTCGGTCGTCGTATGTTTATTAAAGAGGTTGCGGCAGACGTTTTCATCGCGAAAACGTGAACGTCGACCACAACCTCTCTATTTTATTGTCTTCCCGTCGTAATCGGTCGTCGTTTGTTATTAAGCGCATTTATTGTTATTATTATTGTTGTTGTTGTTGTTGTGTTTTGTGAGTTATACTCGGTTCACACCGGTGGCTGTGTACTATACCGGACCAGAGTCGAGGCGTAGCAACTAAAACAAAATTAAAATTAAATAAGTGCGTCAGTGTCTGTATTCAGGAATTTCCTAACAATATGACATGTATTCAATATAGTGGCCTTCTGTAGTGTGATGTATGCATTTCTATTCAATCGTAATGTTCCCAGGCTATTGGAATGGCTATGTCTATAATGTATGTGATTTTATTGTGTTTGTCAATGAGTGTGATGTCTGGTCTGTTGTGGTAAATTGTTTTATCTGTGATTATGGCTCTGTCGTAGTACATTTTGTGCGTGTTGTTTTCCAATACTGTCTGTAGAATATACTTGTAGTATGGTTCGTGGATGTCAACCAATTTGTGTTTCTTTGCAAGCTCTTGGTTTATTATATTTGCTACTTGATTATGTCTGTGTAAATAATCTGTCTGTGCCAAGAGCTTGCACCCAGAAGTGATGTGTTGTATAGTTTCTGGCACGATGTGACATTTTCTGCATGTGTCATTTGTGAGTGTTGTATCTTTGAGTATGTGTTTTCTGTAGTTTTTAGCGTTTATGACCCGATCCTGTATGGCAATCGTAAATCCTTCCGTCACCCCAAAGAGGCATCCCGATCTAACCGGCTGTTTGACGCAGTTCTGTCAACAAAATCCTGGGCCAGGTCGTAAGGATGTCTGCCATGGAGTGCCTTTCGAACCCAAGATTGCTTGATGGTGTCTATGCTTTTTATGTGTTGTGTCATGTCTGTATGATGTGAGTGTAAGTTTAATGGTGTGCTATTTGAGTCTGCTAGAGTTACTGCTTTATGTAATTGTGATGTTTCTTGTTTCCTGTAGAAAAACTCTCTTTGTAACTGTATTTGTTTGTAATGAAGGTTAATTATGTCAATTAGGCCACGTCCACCATCTTTACGTAAAAGGGTTAATCTTTCTGTGGCGGATTTAGGATGATGTTGTTTATGCTTAGTAAGCGTTGTTCTTGTTTTCCTTTGGAGTTGCTCGAGATCTGTGTAGTCCAACGTATAACTCCAAAAGAGTATGCGAGTACTGGGACGACGTATGTGTTTATTGCTTTAACTGTGTGTTTTGCATTTAACTGTGTTCTGAATATAGCATTTAACCTACTTATTATTATTATTATTATTACTGGAATTTAAACAGACATTTTAGTGTTCTGCTTCGATTTATTATTACCAGATGTTGACAGTCTACGTATTTGGCTATGTTATAGGTTTGTGTCTTGCGGATGATATTTCTTCTTCCTCCTGCCTTTCCATCGTCCAAACAGTACTGCACTCGTCCAACCACTCCCAAAACGCCGTACAACTCGGGCATAACTTACATTTGTCGAATTATTATCGTCGCCGACGAATCCTACGCTTCAGAAATGTACCGACCTAGAAGAGACATCAGACCTCCGACGTCTCTTCTAGGAAAATTTCCTACAGGCCTTCTAATGACCGTGTTGCCGGTTCGACATTCTCCGTTTTGTCGGGAGACCATTTTTTTTCGAAGCTCAATTCCTCCGCTAAAACTTTGCGCCAGGTCCAGGAAAAATTTCTCGGAGAATTCAAAATTTTCCTTTGACCGAGGACTATTTGTCAAACGTCCTTTAGGAATTTGCATCCGACAATGCTAGTTTAATCGGACTAACGCTCGTTCCTACATCGAAATATTGTAGGGGTTTTGGTTAAAGCTTCGTCGCTTACCAAGGATTTCCTCGTAAAAGTCACGCGAGTGGTTACTACGTTTCTACTTTTATCTGTTAGAAATTAGCGCAATCTATCGCTTCCCGTTGCCCGACGTGTCCTGGCCGCGGGGAGTGACGTTTCTTTCAACTTCCATAAAAGTAATTATACTCCCCCATACCACCACGACGCGAATTATCGGATTTTTTTTAATCCGATAATCCGCGGACATTCGACGATATTTTCGTTTCGACTCCCCGTCGCTGACCGGCGAAGCGCAGATCCCTTTTTATTTTAAAACAATTATTAGGCAACGTATCGCGGTATCGGTAATGTTTCAAATTGAAAAATCGAATGACGACAAACGACCTTCGGATAGAATGTTACTGTTACAGTCGTAGACAAAACATCAAACTTTAAAATCCATTATAAAGCAAAATTGGGTTTTGCACGCACCGTTGTCGTATTTCGGGATGGAAGAGTTGAGTTGGATAATGATCGGGTACCTGTGTTTTTCGGTTGTGCGCCAAGTTCTGGGAGGAGAATCCCTATTTTACAGAGGAAGGCCGAGAGGGAAATTCGGAATGTTGAGGTCTCTCGTCAGAAACGAGGGAGAGTCGGTACCCGAAGATCGATGGTTCCTACAGAAGCTAGATCACTTCAATCCCACGGATAATAGGGTTTGGAAGCAACGTTATTTCGTCAACGCCAGTTTTTACAAACCCGGAGGACCTGTATTTTTACAGATAGGAGGAGAGGGAGAAGCCAACCCCGTTTGGATGATCAAAGGTCAACCTATGAACTACGCCAAGACTTACAACGCTTTCGCGGTCATGTTAGAACACAGATACTACGGAAAGAGCCATCCGACCGAAGACACGTCGGTCAAAAACCTCCGCTACCTTACTAGCGAACAGGCTTTGGCGGATTTGGCTAATTTTCAGCATTACGTAACTCGGAAGTATAACTTGAAGGGCAGCAAATGGATCGCTTTCGGAGGTTCGTACCCCGGTTCTCTAGCCGCCTGGTATCGCTTGAAATATCCTCATTTGGTACACAAATCCGTGGCGTCGAGCGCGCCGGTTTTCGCTCTAGTAGATTTTAAAGAATATTTGGGCGTGGTCACCGATTCTCTGGCCACCGCCGGCAAAAAGTGCAACGATGCCATTCGACTAGCCGNGCCGCCTGGTATCGCTTGAAATATCCTCATTTGGTACACAAATCCGTGGCGTCGAGCGCGCCGGTTTTCGCTCTAGTAGATTTTAAAGAATATTTGGGCGTGGTCACCGATTCTCTGGCCACCGCCGGCAAAAAGTGCAACGATGCCATTCGACTAGCCGCGCAACAACTGTCTCGATTGTTAAAGTATAGTGTCGGAAGGCAGAAGGTGACAGAGACGTTTCGTCTCTGCAGCGATTGGGGTGCTGCCAACGAGAAGGACGTGGCCAACTTATTTAGCAATTTGGCTGGCAACTTCAAATTCTTTGTTCAGTACAATAAAGAAAACACGGGGATTACGGATGCTAAAGGACAGACCGTTACGATAGATACTATTTGCGGAATAATGGAAGACGATGCGGCGGGGTCGCAAATGGAGCGTTACTCTCGAATAAACGATCTCTTATTGGACAGTTTTGGTATCGATTGTCTGGATGTCAAGTACGACGACTTTATTAGGGACTTGTCTTCTACTTCTTGGAACGATAGCGCGGCCGAAGGAGGAAGACAATGGACTTACCAAACGTGCGTGGAGTTCGGATTTTTCCAGTCTTCGGATCTGTCCACCCAACCGTTCGGTAACGGATTCCCCGTCGACTTCTTCGTTCGACAATGTTCCGACGTTTTTGGACCAGAGTTTACGTTACGACTCCTGCAGAGAGGAATCGACCGCACCAATCTCAATTACGGGGGCTTCGGTCTACGGGTGACGAACGTGGTGTTTCCGAACGGGTCCATCGACCCTTGGCACGCGCTGGGCATAACTCGAGATATATCCCCCGAGGCAATCGTCATCTACATTAACGGAACCGCTCACTGCGCCGACATGTATCCCGATTCCCCCGACGACTTGCCGCAACTGCGAGCTGCCAGACGGGAAATTAAAGAACGAATCGGATTGTGGCTGAGAGGAGGAACGGGAGTTTAATACGGAAAAGTTTTATTTTGATATCTGCACGCAATAATTACACTTTTTAAGTTATTTAATTTAAAATTAGTATAATAAGTTAATGGAATACATCGTCCGCTACATTTGAGATTTCTCGCCGTCGCATCTACATTAGTGAAGAGCAATATTTCGTAACTGGTGACTCAAAATTTTTAAACTCCGCTCCGCGGGCACTAAGAGGACCTCCTTGGGAAGCCCATTACGGGTTCGGCCGGGTGGCGAGGGACGGATCACCACCCGAAAAATTTATAGGACTTTGTCTATCCGTCCGGATTCTATTCCGGGTTCCCCAGAGCGCTTGGCTGTCACGCTCCAGCCCAACCGGCCTTCGGTAATTTTATAACTATAGTGAAGAAGCTGCTATTAAAATATTACCCTTAATCATTAATTTTCCTCCAGCAACCAGTCGCGTGAAACATCATTTACGAATAATCGTGGTTTCCTCCATCGAGAGAGGGGCTGCAGCTTGTTTTTTTAACTGGAAATCGAAGAGAAAAAGAGAGGAAAGGTATAAGACCACGGATATCGCTACTCGCTAGTCATAAACTGCGCTAGCATCGTTCGAGACATTCGCCGATTGGTTGCTGGTGGCAACGAGTTGTCACGTTCATGGATGTCGTTTCCACTATGAAAGGTATGGAGGAACCATACATCACATTTTGCAGGTATGGAATTCCATATCTCGGAATATTGAAAAAAATTATTTACAATGCAAGGCAAGCCAAGGCAGTGGCGTACCGTGGGTGTCAGCCGCCCGGGGCGGAGGAAAATTTCGGCCCCTCTTATTTAGGTATTTCAATTTAAAAGACCAAAATGGACTTTTGTCACAGAACAAGCAATGAAAAATTTGGTGGTAGTGCAGCGACCTGTTTAAAATAGTTCTATTGCATATTAGTGGTGTATATGAACGCGAATGAATCGTACAAGCAAAGAAAAGAAAAGGTCAACAGGTCCGCACGCAGGAATTCCTCGGATTAAAAAGTTACTAGTTCACCCGGCGAGCCGATTCCCGGACTGTCCGGACGATAGCACTATCGTAGGCGCGATGCAAGTATAGATTAAGATGTTTCAAATTTTTACAAGATATTATTATTATTTATTATGAAATTTTGCCGCCCCCTAAAAAGTGCCGCCCGGGGCGGGCCGCCCCTGCCGCCCCCACTACGGTACGCCACTGAGCCAAGGCACTTTCTCTCTGTATGAAAACAAATTTTTTCCTTGGACAACGCTAAAAGTGCTCAGCAAATAAACGCATAGAAATAAAACGCCTTAATTTGTTGCTGAGAAATATATATAATTGAAAAACGAACGTTTTCAACCCGACTAACGGGCCATCTTAAAAGCTATGTCGCGTTAGAGAGCTAGGCCTAGCGACCGCGAAAACTCTGGCAGGGCCAGGCTTTGTCGTTTGTAAAGCGGCAGAAACGCCCCAGTTGAAGACGAAGGAAAGACATAGTCTCTTAACCCTGTGGTGCCAATTTGGCGGGGCAGGGAAAGAGATCCCTATCGGGGAAACGTCCTTAAGAGACTTAACGGGCCATCGTCGCGTCGGATCAAAAACGAAAATGGAACAGATACGTTCCATGTATAGAATACAAATATTTAAATCAAAATTTAGAACAAAAATTTTTAAAACTATACGAGAGAAACGGAAGAACATATAAAATTAACACAAAATAAAATAAAAAATATCATAAATCTTCCAATAAACTAATTCTAGTCCGAGTTTTTAGTAAACTTTTTAACCGTGTACTTCCACGCCGACGGCAGGCTCTCGGCATTTAAACATCCCTCGCGTAGCCTACTTCTATATATTTCAATCTTCTCCGCCGTCGAATATTACCTTCCAAGTATGCGACCAGATAGAAATACCGAAGAAAATCAAAGAAGTGCTGGAGAAAGGCCCGAACTTTGTCCCCGATGTTGTAAATGGTTGGGAAACCTCCATACATCAGATTGAGAGAAGGATAGTTGGTATGGATCCTTTGGATAAGGAATTCTTTAGATGGAAGACTGTTATCAGTAACCTCCCAAAGAAAAAAGCAACTAGTATTAGCAATAGGGACACGTGGCTAACGAAGGAGTGGTTAAGAACGAACGATCTAGTGATGACCAAAGTAGACAAAACTAGGCATTTAGTTGTCACGAAGAGGCACACGTTTAACGAGGAATTACACGCTTACATCGAGAAGACCGAATGTCAGATTGTTGATGACGAGATAATTGGGTCTTTGGACAGAAGGGTCAAGAAGTTAGAACGCTCGAGTCTCGCTGCGGTTTTACCCTTTCTGAAGAAATGTTCAAGAGCTCCAAGATTGTTTGCGATTGCTAAGACGTACAAAATCGGAAATGAATTAAGACCAGTGGTAGAGAAGTGTAGGGGGCCCACCTTTATCTTAGAAAAAAGGTTACGTGAGTATTTATCCTCACAACTCGATGATGATAGGCTGATGGCAAGATCCTCTTGTTGTAGTCGAGGAAGTACAAAATATTTCTTTAATGGAAGATGAAGTGGCGACCGTTTTAGATTACGAAAGCGTGTATCCTTCGGTAATGATTAAATTTTGTGTGGAGGAATTATTGAATTTCATGTACAACAACAACAACCCTCAGTTGCTTAGTTACACCCAAGAACTAGAATAACTAGCTAGCCTTGTATGCCATCAATATTGTTTTACTTTTTGTGGTCGAATATACAGGAGAAAAGAGGAGTTCCCTCTCTGGGATTCTTTGCGAATTAGTAATTAGAGGCTTAGAAAGAAGAGTTCTACGTAATTTTAAAGAAGATAACACGCATTTCTGTAGATAACATTTTTATCTTACGGAGAAATAATGAATTTTTGAATAGAATCAATGATAACAAGGATGGTCTTAAGTTATGGCAACGCGACACTTGGGAGATGCCTTCCGGGAGGTGTTTTTAAGGAAATTTGGCTCCTATTTATGCGTTATGGAAGTGGAGAAAATCCGGAAAATTCCACGTGGCCAGCCCGTCCGAGAGAGGCGCGAAATCACAAGCCAGAATTCCCAGTGTTTAGGGTACGAAGACCGTTCGGCTGGTGATATTTTCTTATCATCCGATATAAAAACCAATGGTTAATTCAAAGAGTTAACTTCAGTCGATTAAACCCAGTTGGGCATAATTTTAAAGGTGACAGTTTCTAGTGATTTTGAAATAATTCGACGCCAAATCAACCGAAAAAGACTTTATTACAGAAATAAAATAGTTTACAGTAACAATTGAATTGTTCCGACGTTTCTTAGTAATTACATTTATATTATTCAGCAATTAATCTTCATACGGAAATGATAAATTTAGAAATTCTCGAATTGATCCAGCACCAAGCTTTGCCACAGAATATCTCGTAGAAATCCCCAATTGATTTGAATTCTTCCGCAACTGTGTAGCTTCTGTTTAATTTAATTCGAATAGTTCAGAATCTGTTTTATGTAAATCACAATTCTGACGAGTTCTCCAAAGCATCTTAATAAAACTTAATAAATGCATCTTAATAAAACTTTACCATTCACGAAGCGATAAACAATGCTTAAAGACATTTATTTAAATTTGTATTTTCCTAATGATAACGACACTTACAGTTTCATTCAACGCGAAAACTCCGTACTTTACGAGAAATTTCGGAAATAATCCGTCTTCAATTTTCTGTATTAACACTTCATCTTTTCGTTTTGCCGGCATTCTTCGGATATTGAGTAAATTAACGTGACGAAATAAGCAATGGATACAATTCCGACACACAATTTAATACAGTCCAAATTCGAGGAAAACACAATTCAGGAGACAAATTTGAGCACAAAATCCGGGAAAGTCGAGTGTAGACACGATTCGGGAGTCAAATTCGGGGATGTCGTAATTCGGGATAATCCAAATTGGTGAGGTAGACGTAAATCGAGAGTCCAAATTCGTGTAGACCAATTTGGAAAAATGATAATTCAGAATAAGGAGACACAGCCGGGATAAAGTCAAAATTGGGAAGTGATAATCGAAATTAGCATCGACTCTATCGGGATGTCAAAATAAGGAGAAGGATTGAAGTCATCCACGATTTTCAGAAAATTCATATCCTATAAAATATTCAATTATTTAATTAATTTTTATATCAATAATTTTTTTCTTCTAAAATACACTTACATGCCAACAAGCAAAAATGATTTTGCTTACGGCAATTAATTGCGAACTGCTACGTGTCATGTCGTTGTTAATTCGATTATTTTAGCGTGTTCTCGTCCTCGTAATCACGTAAGATTACTGGGTAATTTAATTTCTACATTCATTTATACTATTGCTTTTGCTGTCGAGAGACCAGCAACTTACACCCCGCGATGTATTATTGTGGGTACTTGGACAAGAATATACAGGCTACGTATGCCCGATAACGTAAAAACGTGGCTTTTCTGTAGATATAATCTCAATCGTATGAAAATATAACCACGCTAATACCGTACATAAATATTTCCAGTTTTCTATTGTCCGGCCATTAATTGCGAGTTTTTACGAAATTGTCTTACTTTATAAACCGAGATGGTAAAATCTCCCGAGTGTAGAATACAATAAACACTTACCCAAAGTCAACTCGGCCCAAATCCAGCGAATAATTTATGGCAAATCACAGAGCGGGATCTTATTGTCGATGGACAGATGGAAGCCAAGAGATCCTTACTCGAACCGAACGTACTCGCATTCTCCACTTTTTGCCATTTTACACACCTTCTGCAGGATCTAAATGTAGAAAAAAGAAGTATAATTATTAGTGATGTAACGAATATTCGGTTACTATTCGGTATTCGGCCTATTCGGCCTATTTTTCACTATTCGGCCGAATACCGAATAACTTAAAACGGGAGTAATAAATAACAAAAACACAGTAAATTACAGTAATCATTTTGGTACTTAGATTTAATGTTATCGAGTTAGTGTTGTTTGTTTATATTTATTTATAACTTGTAACACGCACAAAATTAAAAAGAAAATAATATTAGTCACACGTATTCACAATTTATAATTAGAAAAATCGGCACACGTACACGTCTATCGTTGGAGAATCCTCGCACATCTGAGCGTCTGATCCTACCTATCCTTCTTTTTAAGCGCTCGTATTTGCTCTTCCCGTTCTCTTTCCTCTATCGCTCTAATCCACGTATGCCTGTTCATACATCATAATACGCCCTCACGATACTTTCGATTGGTCACTTTTCCGTGGTAGAGTTCCCATTTTACAATTACGTGACTCGTAGCCTGGTGATAACGGAGAAAAGAGACAGATGGGACGTCGATATAAGTCGCAGTTATGATTTCACAGATTCGAGACAGCTCGATAGCCCGAACGGCCCCGGGCTTTCGCCCGTGCACGCTAAGTGACTTTCATTACAAACATTTAGCTTTCCGAAGTCTATGACGACAATCGTTTGGCATTGAGGGGCGCGAATTTCGTGCCAATAAGCTGCCTCGACTCGTTCGATTATGTTATCGACTCAATTTCATATTTATTTTCACATTTTCACTTCGCGGTCCTTCTCTGTTCTTTTTCCGTTATTTACAAATGTAGGTCATTTGATATCATCATTTATCACATACTTCCATGACACTCTTGTCTGTCGGCTACAACTGCCAAGAATTAACGCGATTGGCGAAGCGTAGTGACACACACACACACACACACAATCTTTTATTTAGGTACATATAAAACGTACATTTCCGGTACCGCATAGGCGTAACCGGAAGCGTAGTGACAGCGGGCCAATAGAGAGCAGGATCCTTGCCATAATGCGGTTTGCGCGCCAATTTTCGTACGTGCGTTAATCGAGCCGAATAGTTTGGCCGAATATTCGGCTATTCGGCCACGCTCCTGGCCGAATATTCGGTATTCGGCCCGAGGCCGAATATACTATTCGTTACAACACTAGTTACAACACTAATATTTATCCGTTGATTTATACACGGTATCGGTACGCTATTTTCCTCTTTTGTTTGCCCGTCCGATTAGGTACCGGGTATGGGGATGCCAAAAATTTTATATGTGGCCTAGCATCTATAAAGACGACGGAGATTGTTTAGTTACGGGTATATGGAATTTTAAAACGAACCGGGATTCTTCAAAATATGGGACATTGCGGAGTTCCGACAATTTTTAACGGGACGGTAAAATACCCGACGTCTGCTCACTTTATATATATAGGCCGTAACGTAAACAGACTATTGTTAAATCGTATAACTTTGTATTAATTATACTCGCGGTTATATAGTACAGTATTTGGTAGATTTCTCTGGGTTGTTTTTAACACGAGCTAGTATGGAACTAACGCATTATAACTTACTAAAACATCGTTAATTCGATATTTAAGAGATAAAAGTTTCCAAATTCGACTTAAATACTTGATCTCAAATTCTCCGTCGTCGAGCGTTTCTCGTTTTATTTTTAACTCTTTCCGCCCTGTGGGCACTGAGAGGGCCTCTTTTGACCAGCCCATTCCGGTCCACGAAGGGGCGGCCGGGTGGCCAGAGACGGGCCCGACGTATTCGGATTCGATCCCGGGTCCCCCAAAGCGGTAGGAAGCCACTTTAACCGCACGGCCCTCGTGGTCGAGCGTTTCTCAACATCACGCCAGTAACGTATCGTAGCCGGTAAAAGGTGACGGCCGGATGGCCGAGCGGTCGAGGTGGCAACCTATCGTTCCGAGGGGACCCGGGATCCAATCTCGACGGGTCGAAAAATCCCAGGAATTTTTCGGGAGTGGTCCGTCCGGATACGTTGGGCCCGTCCGCGGTTACCCGGCCGCCCCTTCGTGGACCCGGTCGAACCCGTAACGAGCTGGATAAAAGAGGCCCTTTTAGTGCCCATGGAGAGGAAAGAGTTTAATTTAATTTTTAAAAAAAGGCGGTAAAAGGTGGTGGCGTCGGGCCCGGATGCCAAACTCCGTAGCCTGTATGATCTCCTCCGTATTTTCCGCTTCCCCTTTGCGGTAGCTTTGGCTGTAGATGTCGCGTTGGGCACAGAAAAGAACTGTTTGTTTGTCTTAATCGTCTGTATTCGCGCGGAATATTACAGAAAATAAAAATCTCGGACGGGTCAAAGGGTGGATTGTGGCGGGAAAATACGTTCGAGTCGAAAGTAGGTCTACCGACAATTTCGATTTGACCGGATCGTATTACACGGAAAACCCTACGTACCGTGTTCGGAACCCGTAGACAGATTCGAGTTAACCCACCTCCGCTTAACCAGGTTTTACCGTATTCTTTCGTACGAAACCGAAAAACCCACCGCTACGCTCCCGTCCTTACACGTAGCTTATATAACTGTTTTCCTTCGATTAATAAAGATAAAGATGGTGGGCCCGACCAAAGTCCTCTTTGTAGCGGCGAGAGGGAAAGAACAAAAGAACTAGGGTCACGCGTGTCGAATTTTCACTCGTTTCTTGCAGAAATACGATAATACCGGTGCGTTCTTTGTGACTGGAATAGGAAGCAAAACGTAACGAGAAATAATACAGTATTTTATTTAACCTGTCCCGATTTTTATAGTCCGATTCTCGCCAGACCGATCGAATGTTGAAAACGTTTCGGCTCTCGATACTATTTGATCTTCTTGTTCCTTTTACCAGTGATGTCCTCCGAAACCGCCGTGAATTCCGTGACCGATACCTCCGAAATGACCTTTGCCGAATCCTCCGTGACTGCCGTAGCCTCCGTGACCTCCGTAACCACCGTGTCCTCCTCCGTAGCCTCCGTAACCACCGTGACCTCCTCCGTAACCACCTTTACCGTGACCTCCTCCGTAGCCTCCGTGACCGCCGTAACCACCGTGTCCTCCTCCGTAGCTACCGTGCCCACCGTGACTTCCTCCGAAGCCTCCGTGACCTCCTCCGTAGCCTCCGTGACCGCCGTAACCACCGTGTCCTCCTCCGAAACCTCCTTTTCCGTGACCACCTCCGTAACCACCGTGTCCACCGTATCCTCCGAATCCACCCTTTCCGTATCCTCCGCTTCCCCCTTTGTGGTAGCTTTGGCTGTAGCTACCTCCCTTAGAATAGCCTCCGCTCGTCGCTCCTCCGTAACCGCCCTTGCCACCTCCTCCGTAACTACCGTAGTGATAACTCTCTTCTCCCTTCAGGTCCTCCTTCTCGGCCGGTTTACTTTCTTCTTTGGCCGCCGCCAGACACAGCGCTACGGCAAACAACAAAAACGTTTTCTGAAATAAACGTAAAGAACAAAGGTCATTCCTATTTCTCCGGAGTCTTCCGCCGTTTTAATGGCGGCGCAGAGCAACGAAATTCGCCTCGTCCGCACTTACCATTTTCCCCGACGGTTTGTCACGATCCGTCTCGACTGCGCCCGCTTTATATAGTCCCGGGGCCAACGTGGAAGTGGGTGAGGCGCGCGGGGATAGGTCGAACCAGGAACCGAAACCACCCTATCCGGTGAAATCATCGGCGGTTGGGGAACCGTGACAGACACTTTCTATCCGAATCCGTTCCGATGCTTATCGATCGCCATTCTTTCCTTTATCCTTTGTACCTACCGGGGGATTATTCCAGTTCCCGGATTCCTCCACATTCTAACCGACGGCTCCGATCGTCTCCGTCTGGAGGAAAACCCAGGATTTAATTATTCCAACTGGCGCTAATCGGACGACGGCCGAGTAAACTCCTTTAATACCGTATTTGATTTATGTTTTCTCGGCCGGAGAGGAGGGAAACAAAGGCGAAGGACACCGTGGTTAAGAAGCGGGGCGGAAGTCGTCGTCTTCCGGGACGAAGTAGCGGTAGTACTGTATTTGTTTTATTGTGAGAAGGAACGACGGCGTTTCGGGTCCTTCCGATATCCGGTGGTTATTCGACTTTCCGACCGAAGAGTAGACTATTACTTACGGAAACTTTCTCCGCCGCCCACTCTCTTTTATCTTTCCCGTCTTTCCCTCGGTACGTACTGTACAGTACGTTATTTAGTCCGATGTCGGAACGTGTATTTCGTATCGGGAGGGAGGGAGGGAGGGGGCGAGGACGGTCCGACATTTTCCAATTTCTCTTTCCGAAATCCGGCTCCGCCGATATTCCGTAAAAAACTCTGGTAATCCGCGGTAGGTGGGAATTATTTTATTATCGATTTAAATTATAAATTAGCATTTAAAAGAACGTCCTTCTCCCCACTTTCTAGTTTTCTTCTATTTTACTGGAATAATTCCCGCAGCTCCGTTTTCCAGTTCTTTGTTTGGCCGTTGACCGGAACGGAGAAAAGTAAAACTAGAAACGAGAACGGGGAAAGATCTTTTCAAAAATGTTAGGTCGGGACGTTCGATTTTCGGAAATCCTCTAAATTACGTAGACGGACGATCGATTGTTTCCTCCGCTTTTATTAAACGTTACCCGTCCGGGTCTAACCGCTAACGTTACGGTATCGAAACGGGGTCGCGCATTCCCCTCGGGAGGGGGGAAAACTATTTAATAATTGCCAGGTAGATAAATATTTGGGAGATAATCGCGCGATGGGTTACGCGGATGTGGAACGAGATCGTTCGTCTAGAAACCCGGACGATAAGGCTTTAATCCCGGGCTCGACGACCGATCGACGGGAGAAGGGCGTCTGGGCGAAAACGTTCCCGACGAAAATTCTAAAAGCTCTTTCTTAAATTAAGTTTTTAACTTATTCGGGCCGTCCCTCTCCCACACCTTCCCCAACGGCGACGAAGACCATAACATTTAAATTGCCGGACAGAAGCTCGGAAGCTCCTTTAAATTACCGGGAGCGTTTCCCAGTTCGCCCTTCGTTTCTTCTTCCTCCGTCGGCCGGAGCTGTTTTCCGACAGACGTAGAGAACGGGGACGTATTTCCACCCACCCGACGGAATTTCGAAAGGTTCTCTCGTTAAACCGTTCGACCGTTTAACGGGATTTTTCTAAATCTAATTATGTAAATGCCGGTAAAATGGAACGAACGATCGGGTAAACGTTCGGTTCCGCCGCCTTTACTCCGATAATTACGTCGGCGCGAGCAAAGCTCTAAACGTAATTTTAAAGTCGGCGCCATCTTCTCCGACCGCGTGGCGCGATTTCCCAAGACGGACGACTTTTCCCCCCGACCCGCTCCAAGCGCCGGGATGGAGATCGATTTCTGTCGACGTCACCGTCCCTCGATATTTATCTAAAACGCGCTTAATCCCTCGGAAAATCGGTCCCGACCCCGATTTGTAATTCCCGTTACGTTTGGACGGCGGATCGGTGCCGAAAGCGTCGCGCGGGCAAAAGAATTCGGTCGGCGCGCTTACGAAAGAATCGTCGGCCCGAGACGGAACTATTTTTAACGGTCGTAACCGCTCCGTTACGTAACGCGAAGGACCTTTCTTGGAAAAATTACCGCGGCCTCCCTCTTTACTTCCCACCGTTTCGCCTTTACGTTTTCGTCGTTGGGTTAATAAAATTATCGATTGTCGGACAATTAACCAGTAGCGATAGACGAGCGGATTATCCGACCGTCTTACAAAAATATCGGCCTTTCGGGCGTCTAATAAAATTATTTTATTTTCGTCTAGGCCCAAAGGCCGGAGGTGGATTGGGATTTAAAGGCGCGGTCTCCTCGGCAAATGACGACGGCCCGAAGACTCTCCGTTGACCAAAGTAAGAAATAAACGGTTAACGGCATTCGTCTCTTTTAAGATCCAATGCCGCCAACCATTTATTTGTTTTTAACCCGGAAACGATAATCGTCCACCCTTTAAGTTCCCGCTTAATCCGACCGAAGGGAAGGAAGACGTCTTTGGCCTCTTATTTTACTCTCCGGGCGACTCGCTGGCATTTTTCCCATTCACGACACTCTTCCGCGGACGACGACGGAATCCTTCCCGCTCCGCCCAACTTTCCGGCAGTCGGATCGGTGCCGAGCGGCGACGTCGTCCGCGCGTAACTATCCGTGCATCTGTCGTCTCCGGGTCGACCGACTTTCGTTTTCCTTTCTCGACGACCCGGATTCGTTAAATTATCCGTCGAAACCCATTCCCTCCCTCGCCGTTATATAAAAATAACGAAACGCTGGCTAAAATTCCCCCTCTTCTATCCGGCGGAGGAAGCCGGGCCGGGCGAATATCCGCTTTAAATGCTGCCGTAGAACCTCTGGAAACAAGTGGTTCGGCGGCATCCGCGGTCAGGGTTAGAGAATGTAGAGCGGCGCGAAGGGAGGAAAATACCCACACCCGCGGGAAACCGGCGCCCTATTTCCTCGTCCTTTCTCACCGTCTCTCTACTTGCCTCGTCGCCTCTTTTGTCCCCGCCGATTGTCCTTCTCGTCGGAATTTTACAAATACGGAAAACGGTCGGGACCCACTGGTTAGCGCGTTTCCGCCGAAATCCTCGTTTAACGATACAATTTCTTGGAAACGGATTCCGATCGACTCCGCGTAAAAACTTTCCTTTATTACTTTCCCGGATCGGTTTTACGCAGCGGAGGAAACGCGTGACCGTGGCACAAAAACGACCCCTTAAGATTTTTACAATTTTGGACTCGGAAACTTCCGGAAATGCAAAAAAATTCGGTTTTTTTCTGTATAGATGTTTGCGTGTGGCCCTCGTTCACTCTCTTCCAAGGTTATTAACTCCCGCGCTTTTTGTCGAAAATTTCGCAATATTTGCGTATTATCGATCCCTCTAGATCAGGGGTCGGCAACCCGCGGCTCTTTGGATGCGAAGCTGCGGCTCTTTAGTTCCATACACAAATATTATTTATTTTATCAAAAAGAAAACATTTAAAAATCGTTCTGAATGGATTAACGAGGATTCGGCACCGATTCTATCTCAGCCACTTGTACTCGCTTTTCATCGCACCCCTCCCCCGCGACACGCGTCGTCAATCCGTCGGAAGCTCTCGAATGACGCCGTCGTCGGATGTTTCTATCAGGTTTAATTCGCTTTCGACGCAAGACAATTCTGAATAAATAGATTAGTTTTTTATCAAAAAACTTTATTTATGCGAGTAGTATTTATCGTTGGCAAGAAAAAATTTTGTGGATCTTTAAAAAACTTTGAAATTTTGTAAATTGTAATTTTTGGCTCTTCCGACTCGAAAGGTTGCCGACCCCTGCTCTAGATCGGTGGTTAAAGGTCGAGGGGTGGGGAGACGAAGGGAGTCGAGTGGGGTGGGACTTAATGACGATTTTACCGGTTGTTAGCATTTACAATTTTTTGTATAAAACTCGCCCCTACTTGAAAAATTACGCTTTTTACCGCTCTATAATAATTGGAAATGTAAAGTTTTTAATAATAAAATACAGTACCGGACGGGCGCCACAAAGGGCAGTTTTAATCTTGCCGGGAAAGTTAAGCAACCGGTTGCTGGATTTTTTTACTCAACTACCGACAGAAAATATTTATTTGTATTCCGAATTCACTCCCGGGGAATTAATTAACATTACCAACAAGCGACCGATTGACTCGGGCCACGATAAAATGGCCGAAAAACTGGAAGACGGGCTTTTGGGAAGAGGTTCGAGTCTTTAAAACTCGATAAAAAAATTACTGCGGAAGAAATGTTCCACCCAAACATTTGATTCCGACTTCCCGGTTAGATGGCGCGCGTTATTATACTCGGAATTAGTTTGCGAGAGGCAACGATCCTCCTCTCTGGTCCACCAGAAAATCTGTACTCGACAGAAATCCTGGATTTCTGTCGAGTTCCGTTGGAAAATTAAATAGAAAGGCGAATAAACCGGCGCTTTAATTATAATTTTCCATCAATTCGAAAAAGTACAGTAGGTGCGAAGTTTGCGCCAATCAGGTCTTGGGAGAAATGGCCCACAGTTGCAGTTGGGGCGTCCTTTCGTAGCGAAAATACTGCGGAAAGTCCGGGCAGCGACCGACGTCGTATACGTCGCGCAGAGAGTCCAGTCTGTCCACCAAGTAGTCGTAGGCGGGACTGCACTCGGTCAACGTCTCCGAGGCGAAGTTGATCCTTCTCTCCAGAGACACGTAGGCCACCCGCCAAGGCGCGTAACTCCGCAGCCAGTCCAGAGTCTGGAGAAAACAATGGGTCAGACGGTCGTCGTACACCACGTCGGAGGCCAAGATCACTTGGGTTTCCCTCAGTTCCTCTCTGTCTCGGTCGCTCCACCCGAATCTTCCTCCGGCCGAAAGAGGATCGCAAGAGGTCCAGTCCAATTCTCGCACCCGGACGGAGTTCCCGTTACTTTCCACGTTGGCTCTGCATATTTCCAACTGGGTGGCGCCGCGATCCGTGCAAAACGTCCGACGAGCGTAAGACGAAACCAGGATGCTGCACAGACCCGTTCCTCCGCCCAGTTCCAGCACGTTCTTGCCTCCGAATCGTAAAGATCCCTCGTGCAATACGAAGTCGGCCAGATAGGTGGCCCCTCTCCACACCTGCGAACCCACCAAACTCAGAGGGGTGGCCGTCAGATGGACCAGGGTCAGCACGTTCTTAGGCCCTACGTCCTTTCTTTCTATCAACAGATCTCCGTCCTCGTCGCTGGCCGGCGGATCCCTAGTCGGGCGCCGTTTCGCTTTCTCTCCTCCACGGGGCCGACGGAAAACGAACCGAGACCGCGCAACTTTTACTCGCTCTTTCCACCTTTCCGGTAACGCGGCGTAAATCTCGGATCCTTCCACCGTGGCGTTTTCCGTATAAATGTGCACGTCCGATAATACCACGTCTTCTTCCATTCTTTCTACCGGCGGCCATATTGATTGGCCGGATATCCGCCCGGACGAAAAATCCCGTAATTATCGCGTTTATTGTAAAATTCTTAAATAAATTAACTTACAACGTTCGTTTTAATATATTTAGTCGTCAGTGGCGTAAAAAAATGTATTGGATAAAATTATACATGTGGCCGGGGTGTTCCGGTTAGGGAAATTTCCCTAATTTTTCCCTAATCTTCCCCGTCTTTACGTATTAATATAAGAGCGCGATAAGACAATTAAACGTAACGACACGGAGGCGTTAAAATCTAAAAACGTTAAAGTAAAACGCGTCTCTTAAGTATAACTCTTGCCGGAGTTTACCGAAATGCCCCCGACGTAGGTAAAATACTCGATCCGCGGGACTAGGCAGGGGCGAAAATAGCATCGACCGGTCGCGCTTTCGTTTTTAATAGATAAACGTTAACTAAAAATGACGTATAAAAATAATTATTAGAATAGAAACAAAAGGTTTTCTGGAACGTATGAAGCCGAATACCGCGCGATGGGGGAAAACGATACGAGTGCTGCCATCTACCGACGGCCGTGCGGACGAAGGACGGCGTGGTGGCATCGATTGGATTGGTTTACGAAAATCGCGTATGGTTTTCTCGGTGGCGGGAGGATCTCGGTCGATTCCCGGTAAATTATGATTCCCAGCTATTTATTTAGGCGTGCCGTCGAATTATCTCCCGCACGTGTTTGGGGATGGTCGAAGTGAGTTAGTCTGTTGGTATTTCTAAATATAGTAAACGGTCCGGCTCTAAAGTTAGACGAGTTCTAGAAAGTTTTGGAAGCAGGAAATACGTTTACGGTATATATACTGCGAGTAGACGGCTGGGAAGCGCGTCGTTGGCTTTTCTTCCGTCGGTTAATGTAAATTACTGTCGGGTAAGTATCTGGTGAGTGAAAAGTACGCATCGGGTCTTTACCAGTTTAATTAATTGCGGTAAGAAAGTCAGCTAATTATTCGTTTGCCGAGTTCTCGCTCTTTTACCTGATGCGATTTCGTTAAATCGACAACGAAAGCGAATAATTTTCTACTTTGTGGCCCGTCCTTTTTTCGCAACTAAGTTTCCGCCGTCTTCGTCTCGTAAAAATTCTCCGATAAATCGATAAATACGAAATAATTGTATTGCTTTGACGTCTCCGACGTTAAGGACTTTGTTTTGTAATTACGGACTCGTTCTTACTACGGACCGGTACGGATTTTACGGGCCGCCGAGCGGTTCCGGACGCCGGGGGTTCGGCGGTTTGCGCCCGGCCGGGACCGGGCTTGCTCCGTCTCCGCCGTGCCCGGACGGGGGCCGGTTACTCTTAGAGAGACCTGTCGGAAGGCGTTTCCCCGGGCGGATCGTCCGGGCGTCGCCTTGCCGCCGCTCGGCCGGTCGGGCTACTTTCGAACGTCGAGAGACGCGTTCGATTTCGGGACGCTTTTGCGGGCTCGTTTCGCCGAGCGGACGACCGTTCCGGTCCGCCGTCGTCTCCGTCGGGTGCCCCCGTTGCCGGAGGAACCGCCCTCCGCGGGATGCCGTCGTCTCGGAGTTTCGGCTCGTCCCCGGCCGTTCGGTCGGACGTGCCCGACGGAACGGCACCGTTTTTAAAGGATCCTCTTTCGGTTCCCCGGGACGGACCTCCCGACGGACCTACCGACCCTCTGCGCCGAATACGCCTCGGCGGCCGCCCTCGTTCCTCGCCGACGTTTGTTTTTTCTTTTTGCGAGGAGGAAACTGCCTATCTTAAGTGTCGTTTTGGCTTTCTCTTCTCGAGTTTTTGTTAATGCCCGCAAACGGTACCGTCCCGGAATTCCTCTCGTGGCGTCTCGTCTTGCAAATCGTTGCTTCTGGACTTGTGGTTTTTTAAAATTTATTCTTTTTGGCGCAAGGAAGACCCACAACTCCGGAGGGCGGAGGTAAAATCTTGCCGGTCTTTCCGTCGTTTTACCGGAACGACAGATTTGAAAATTACGTAAACCTACGTGTGTTTGGAAATGACGTCGGGCAATAAGAGACCGTAAAATCTGTGTCCGTTTAATATTTTGAAAGAAATGAAATACGGTATTTGTTGTCAAATTTCATTTTAGCATTTAGTCTTGTCGACTCTCAAAAATCCTTGTTTTTTATTTCTGTCGTCGTGAACTTACTTATTTCTCGTGGAGTTATTAACTGTAATTCTTGTAGTACAATTTTGAATAAATTGAAGAAAAAAGTGCAGCTTTTTAAATTTTAAATATTAATTCTTATGTCCAAATTATATTCTTGTTTAGCCAGTTGTAAAGAGACAGTAATATTACTTTTCTGGGAGAAAAGTAATATTACTGCCATGTATAATGTATGGACTAGATAATTTGAAATATTTTAATTGTAAATTAATTGGCAAAAATTAATTGTAATTTCATTGGAACAAACTTTTCCAGTTACAGAAGATATTAAAGAAATGACAAATAATGTGGATATGGAACAAATCAAGTCTCTTCGAGAAGAAGGAAATAAATTGTTTGCTTCCGGAAACTATAACGAAGCGTTGGAATGTTACACCAGAGCTCTCGGACTCATTCCGGCTAAGGATCCGGAATCTGTCGTCTTTTACAAAAATCGTGCGGCCGCTTACCTGAAGTTAAAAGAATATGAAAAAGCGTTAAAGGATGCCGACGTCTGTAAGTTGTCGATCTAACGGTTTCTAGCAAACAATATTAAATTTATTAATATCTGTTTTTTTATTATTTGAATATTTATTTATATTACAAAATAATCCCACAGTTTATTTACACTAATGAATGATTTGATATGTTAATGATATCTGCAGGTGATTTCAACAATACAGGTATACCTCGCCTTACGTCGGTAATTGGTTCCAGGAGAACGACTTAAGTCGAAAAACGACGTAAGTCGAATTTACTTGTCTCCAAATCTACTTGTCACTAGGCTAAACCATAAATTGCCAATTCTGGTTCTGTATTTTATTTATTAATGCATTTTTAATAATGTATGGTTAATAAGGATCTATTTTAAGCTTACAAACAAATAAATTTTAGTTTTTAATTAATTAATATAGTACAGAAAAAAGTAATCTAAATTAACAAATGCATGTACTGTAAATACAGTACATACTTGTAAATGTATATATTTTAATATGATTTTATGTGCTTTAAACATTTTTCTAGTGATATTACGACTTCAATATTTGTGGCGGACAGACGTAAAGTCGAATAAAATGACTTAAACTTGATTTTTATTTTTCCATATACTTTTTTGACAAACGACGTATAATCGGGAACGACGTAAGTCGAGGTATAACTGTATACAGAAGACTTTTGTCTAATTATTGGTAGTATTTTAATTTTTATATTATTTACTTGCATTGCAAACTCATTTAAGCACTTGCTAGACTAGTAGAAAAACCTTTAGTTTATTTAAAATAAATGCTTACACACTGAGCAATAATAATTAAGCAATTAAAATGCTGCTTGTATAGAATGTTTTACAGTCGACCCCCCTATAAGATAGAGATACGTTCCATTCTTTAGGAATCCGATTTCTTACGAATCCTTCCAATCACAACCCGACACGTATCAAGTTTACGGACTACGGCTGTTTGAAAGATTTTCTTCCATAAAATTAATCGATTCTAGACTAATTCGACTCAACATTTCCAAAATACGTATATTTTTTTTTGGAATAATTTGTATAAACTACGCTATAAACAAAAAATTGTAGGATTACTTACCGAGTGTGCACCGTTCGACTAGGCCATTGCTCAACATTATTTTCGTCGCGGAACAGCTCAGCAAACCGCGGCCGATTTCTAATAACTTATTTTTCTGCGAATAGTTCCTTGAACTTCGGAGACATCACTAATATAAATAATTTTAATCGCCGTTGAATAAGAAATGTTTCTTTCACAAGAAATGTATAAAATTACAGTACTGTATTAGACTTACAGTACCTAATTTACATACTCTACAGACGATAGTTAGCGTAAAAATCTCCGTAGCGTGGCGCCACGCTAGAAGGCGGAAATTATATATTTAATTATAACAAAGTTACAATAAGTTAATATATAATTATATGTACAGTACCTAATTTATATATAATTTATATAATACTGTCCAGACGATAGAAATCTCTCCGTAGTTGGCGCTACGGACGGCGGGAAAGTAGTTCGGCTGCCCGATGACGTTTGAGGTAATTATAGGGAATTTTTACTGTTTTTTACGGATATCGGTCACAATTTTTTCGTAGTTTTATAGGAATCGTAATTATAGGGACCGTAATTATAGGGGGGTCGACTGTATTTAGATTTTTTGATTAATTGCATTCAATTTATGAAAATGCGTAATAACCTGACAAATTCTCTGAAAGTGATTGAAAGTTTATTTTTCCAATAAACATATTTGCCGGAATAACTACTGGAAGGTGTCTGAGTTGTTATGACTAGGCAATATGCATTTTGAGATTTTTATTTCTGCGTAACTTCTCATCATTGCCTATACAAATATTGATCTCATTCATCCCTAAATATTACTATAGTCAATATTCAAGACCTACTACTTTTGGTCTCTGGTTTTTTTTTCAAACATACAATCAAACCTGTTTGCTCAACATCTCCATAATTGATAATACTTTACTTATACAGACACAAACACATTTTCTATCCATACAGAATTTCCAAAAATAATTCTTTATACATCAATCAAGCTCAAGATTTCGTTGAACATCTAAATTGGTAAACCAGCTAACATCAAATATTATATCTGCATTTTTATTTCTATATTATTAAACAATATAGAATTAATTACTTTTTTATTAACACCTGCTAAATCAGAAAATTAACACACTATTTTTTTAACTTATTATAAATAATAGGAAGAGAAGCATTTTATAGGAGTGATCCTCACTTTGAAGTTATTTACATATTCAAATTTCTATTAAGTATTTGAGTTTTTCTTTTTTTAATATATATATGCTTTAAAATCTCTTTATAAATAAGTTGTTTTTCAATTATTTTAATGTTATGTAGGTCCGGGATTGTCATATGTACGATAATTATTATATTTGTATGATTGTTTCAAGCATCAAAAGATGTATTGATATGATAATGCCTGTATTGATAATGAGATTTTGTATGATGATTTTAAAAATACACAAATTAATCAATAATTATTTTAAAAATTCAATTAACATTTGCCATTTTTTTACATAACACCTTCTCGTCAATATTTTGTCTTTCCTCCATTAGAGAGCTGCTAAATATTCGGAAGATTTTACTTAGATTGGCTACTACTGTCTATTCTTAATTATTCTTAATTATCGAGACTGCTAACTGCTGTACTTTTAGACTGACTGATAAAATGCTGAAATTGATGTGCAAAGAAAATTTGCACAAATAAATGTTCTGTAGAAATGCCATTATGCTTCAAGTTGCACAAAATATATGTACAGTACTACATTAATATATTTTATTATAGAGTAGGCTCCCTTCTAGTGAGCTGTCCAGAACAAAGGCTTTTTTAACACAAGGCAGCAGTTTCTTAAATGTGACACTTGAGGGATGGACTAAAAATATTTAGAATCAAAAGTTTGGAGAAACTAAAGTTTATGCATTTGAAATAAATATATAAAGATTGTGTTACATATTAATGTTTGATATGTTAAAATTTCATAAAAAAAGTAAAGTTTAGATCAGGGGTGTCCAACCTTTTTGTTTCTCTGGGCCGCATTGGAAGAAGTCAAAAAGTTTTGGGCCACAAGTATATATAATATATACTTGTGGCCCAATATACAAGTATATTTAAAANTATTATAACAAAGTTACAATAAGTTAATATATAATTATATATACAGTACCTAATTTATATATAATTAATATATAATTATATGTACAGTACCTAATTTATATATAATTTATATAATACTGTCCAGACGATAGAAATCTCTCCGTAGTTGGTGCTACGGACGGCGGGAAAGTAGTTCGGCTGCCCAATGATGTTTGAGGTAATTATAGGGGGGTTTTTTACTGTTTTTTACGGATACTGGTCACAATTTTTTCGTAGTTTTATAGGAATCGTAATTATAGGGACTGTAATTATAGGGAGGTCGACTGTATTTTACAGTTCTAAATTTTACTTGATTCACATTGGTAATTATTTTAAATTATTTGCTATTATTTGTTATATGGTTATTCATAATGCTAATGCATTATGCATTGATATAATGCTACCATAATGCAAACTTTTAAATGCAGAAAAGATTAAGAACTAAATATAAAAAAACTTCAATAAAATTCTTAGAGATTCCTAGAATATTGATTGAACTGATGTATGAATTGTTAAGTTTAAAAATTGTATCTGAACAAAGCAAGAAAAATATTAATTTTGTTAATATTTAAAATTTTATTAAAAACAAAAATTTTTAAACTAGAAAATAAAATACAAAAGAAACATTTTTGCAATTTTTATTAATGTTTTTGAACTTATACACACAAAATACTTCTATTGTTGTAGATGAATTAATTTCAAAAACAATTTAATATCTTATAGAAATAATAATCCATCTGGATTTTTTATTATGAAAATTTCTGCATATGGTGTAAAATTCAGATCATTAATATGTTATGTTCTATTCAATATTATTCAGCCGAATATATTGCAGATCTCTAAATAAGAAATTTAATAAATATTCAGATTGCCATAATTTGTATAAAGCATTATACAGTCGACCCCCCATAACATGGGTTCCTATAGTTCAGATTCCTATATCATGTTGAAAAAATTGCAACAGTATTCGTACAAACATGCTAAAAAAAACTCATATAATTTGGTAAAACGTCATCACCGACGCGTGTCGCGACAGGATTGCACAAACCATTGAGTTTAAACGAGCAGAGGACCTACTAAAAAACCATTTATTATTTAATGTCCATAAAAATTATATTTATATTAATGATGTCTCCGAAGTTCAGCAAATTTTTCGCAAAAAAAATAATTTATCAGGAAGCACGCAAGTGCCATTTGATGACAAGCTCCACGACAAAAAAAAGCTTAAGCAATGGCGTAGTCGAATGGTACATGCTCGGTAAGTAATCCTACAATTTTTTGTTTATAGCATAGTTTATATGGATTATTCCCAAAAAATTATACGTATTTTGGAAATGTTGAGTCAAATTAGTCTAGAATCGATTAATTTTATGGAAGAAACCTTTCAAACAGCCGTAGTCCGTAAACTGCATGTGTGCCGGGCTGTGATTAGCTGGACTCGTAGAAAATGGAGTCATAAAAACTGGAACGTAGATATGTTCCAGTTTTTATGACTCCATTTTCTACCGTGTTATAGGGGGTCGACTATACAGTAGAGCCTCGAAAACTTGGCACTCAATAACCCGGCACTCCGGATAACTCGGCCACACCCTGGCAGGGCAAAAAAATCCTTAGTTTTAATTAATTTTCATTATAGACAGCTTTATGCCTCATAAAGTATTTTTCTGAGATCTGTCTTATCAAGTAAATTACTGTACACAGTGTATTCATTAATTTTCATTTTCCTGTAGTAAAGGCTCTATGCCTTCATAAAGGATGTACTTTTCCTTTNTTTCCCTCCTTTTCCGAAATTTGGGTCTATAATCTTTTGAGTCACAACTCCAGCTTTATTTAGTAATCCT